GGGGTGGGCATTATTATAAAATATATGCTTTACAATGTTGAAATGTCTCTGGGGTGTTAGCAAAGACATATGTTTCCTGACTTTCTCAAGAATGTAGTACAGCAATAATCTAATTCTTCAAATTAATGGAATAAGTTGTCTAGTTTTTAAAAGCAGTCACTGAAAATCACTAAAATGTCAGTCCTATTGCAAACGTCTCCTTAAAGTTGTGACTGGCTCGATTCAGACATTGAGTCTTGGATAAACCTGGTCTGGTATGTGCCGTGGAGAGAATCTCCTTAATGGGAGTAAAATCAATAGATGACTTTAGGATTAACAGGACTTTCACTGGGACAATAAGAACATGCATTACATGGGTGTACCTTACTTGATAGCTGTGCATGCTAAGAGAATTTTTTTTTTTTATTCAAAATGGTGCATTCCCTTAAGTAGTAAGTTTGAAATCTATAATTCAGGTCCCTGATATTCTGGTCAAAGATAAGAGCCTTCAAGTGACTACCCATGAAAAATAACATTGTCCTCCAACGACAAAGGAAGCAAAGATTGTTTTGAAATGTAACCTTCATTTCCTGCGTACTAAAGTTTACCAGAAGGTGGACATAAACTTTGAAGGGGTAAAATAAGTATTTCACTGAGTTTTGCTACTAAACAAAGCTGTAAACACTTCAGGTGCAGGCTGTGGAAATGACGGAAGGGCTCTGCCTTAGATTGTGATTATTTGCACAAAATAACATCAACAAACAACACTCGTTGTAAGTTTCCTGCTATGCCAGTTTTATAATAAAAGTGTTTTTCTTTTCAGCTGAACTTTCCAGCCATTTAAATCATGTATTTCCTTTGAGTTAATAAGTACATAATGATGATATAGCTTATGGTGTTTACATTTAACAAAAAAAAGTTTGAATTAGCCGGGCTTGGTGGTGTGTGCCTGTAATTCCAACTACTTGGAAGACTGAGGCGGAAGGATTACCTGAGCCCAGCAGGTTGAGGGTATGGTGGCCGTGAGCCTGGGTGACAGAGTGAGACTCCAACTCAAAATAAATACATAAATAAAATAAAATAATAAAATAGAATAAAATAAAGTAAATTCTTCTCAATGAACAAAAGAACTAGTGATCCAATAAATAAATTTCCATTGGTGGAATTTCAGGCCCCATAACAAATGGAGAGTGAAACCTTGTTGCCTTCTACAAGGGACACATAGTCACCTACTCTGAATGCCAGCCTAATTGTAACAATTCATATTGCAAGAACAGAAAAAAGTATTTAATCTGAGTGACATGTCATGTTACCTATATTAACATTAACCTACTTCTCTGTTACAAACTGATGCTTACAGTTCTAACAAACAGATTAATGAAATATTTTCCTATAAATTAGATTTTTTTACTCAAGTGTGTAATTTTTTCTTGTTTAGTTCATTTTTTAAACAGTCGATAGGTCGCTGCTGAGATCTTCTGATCAGAGAAATTTCCAGAATATTAGGAATATTTTTAAAGATATTCATATCTATATCAATGAAACAGTGAACTACCAAACTTTTTTGTCTTGGTAGTTCACTGTTTTGTCTTGACTCAAGGCCACCCCAGCGTCGACCTGCTAGGTTCTGGCGATCCTTCTACCTCAACCTTCCAAGTAGCCAGAACTATAGGTGCGCGCTACCATGTCCCGCTAATTTTTTGATTTATTGTAGAGACGAGGGCTCACCAAGTTGGCAGGCCTGGTCTCAAACCCGCGGGCTCAAGCAATACACTTGCCTTGGCCTCCCAAAGTGCTGGGATTACAGGCTGAGCCACTGAGCCCGACTGAGAAGAATTTACTTTTAAAGTGTGAATACCCACAGATGGGTACCTCATTAAGCATTACCTTATATTTTAATTTGACCACTAGCTAAGAGTGTGCTGGAGATATTAGATAAATTAATCACACCTGCTTTCCAGTAATAGAATATCCTTTCCTTTAAAGAAGTGCTTTTCTCTCAATCCAGCTCTGTCCTTCTGCAGGTCCGAGTATTCCTCCATTATTTCCCTCCCTCCTACCACCCAGCAACAAGGGCATAACCAGAGCTTGTTCAACCATAGTTTCTCAGAGCCAGTCACAAAAATTGGCTCATGTCCAGGGATGGGTAACCAACCAACTCCTTTCTTGTACTTTTTCTAACAGAAGCTAGTGGAAAAAAGCTTACCTTCTTCTCTGGACAGATGATAAGGAGGGCAACTTATGACCACGTTTTCAGTCTCTTCTGACATCTAGGCTGAAAAAATGAATTCTCAATGCAGAGAGAAGCATAGATGAGGGACACGGAATGTCCCAACAGTACTTGAGACCCAGAATCCATTGAACTTCAAGGCTAATGGTATGCCCTCCCTTGGTTTGTTTACAAGAGCCAATAAATCATCCTCTCTCCTTTATTATGACTAGGGCATCTGTCATTTGCAAAAAGAAATCTGAGAACCCAAAACAAACATTTGAAATAACACAAGATAACCAGGGAAGCAGTGGAGTTCTTATGTCTAGAATTATGTATAGTGTGAGATGGGAAGTCAGCTCTAAGTAGTTAAATAAGGGTCATCACATGCTAAAATTAGTGGACCTCTTTTCAACTTTATTTTGAAGTGATGAGAGACAGGACAAAGTGACTAAGGTCTCTGAGTGTGCCAGATAATGTTACTTGGGGGCTTCAATGGTCCTGACAATCTCCTGGACTATTGGATTGAGAGTAAGCCTGCATGAGGCTTATGGGAGAGTAAAAATATGCAAATAGTGATTTAAGATCTTAGTTTATATGTGAGTCCACTAACTCAGTTTCTCCACCAAATAAGAGAAGCAACATGTAGGTCCAAAAAGGAGTCATTGTTTTGATCCAGAATGAACCTTAGAATGACTGGCTTAATTTAAATTTTAAATGTATATCTGTTCATAAATACATCTTTTCTTTTTCTATACTGGTTGTTTTTCAAACTAGAATATAGAGAAAAAAATAGACAAAAAAGAAAAGATAGGATTTAATTTGTTCTTCTCTCTCCTAAACATTAGAGTCCTGATCCCTCAGTATGACTTAAATTTTTACTACCAAAATATCCAAGAGACAAAACTGTCATTAGATAGTAAATATAATATTTCATTAAAGTGAAAGTAACAAGAATTAGATATCTTGCAATAATATTTTTTGCACTAGGTTTAAAAAGCAGTTGAAGCCAGGCTTGGTGGCTCAGCCTGTAATCCTGCCCCTTTGGGAGGCTGAGGTGAGTGGATTGCCTGAGCCCGCGAGTTCGAGACCCGCCTGGGCAGCAAGACCTCATCTCTACAATAAATCAAAAAATCAGCCGGGCGTGGTAGCGCATGCCTGTAATTCCGGCTACTTGGAAGGCTGAGGCGGAAGGATCTCCGGAGCCCAGCAGGTCGAGGCTGTGGTGGCCAGGAGCAGCCACTGCACTCCAGTCTGGGCGACAGAGTGAGACTCCAACTCAAAAACAAAACAAACAAAAAAAAAAAACAGCAGTTGAAAAGTTGAAAACTTCTCTCAGGGGAACCTGGAGAATTGTCTCCAATGTGCTCTACAATCATTATCAGTTTCTTATCATGCAACCAGTTGAAAATCTGGCTACAATGCCTTAGAATAATAACCTCTAAGTGAATAATATTTTGTGACAGATTTCATTCTTTTAGGTTTTTCATAATGATAAAAGCAAATTTATAAACTGCCTTTACGCTATTTTGTTGAATGAGAAAAAAAATTGAACTTCAGCATGTGTTTCAAGGTGACAGTGTTACAAGCCATTTGGACCCTAGGAAAGCACTATTCAAAACTGAAAATGGAAACCAATTTCATATTAAAAGCTTTACCACGTAGTCAGATTGCTGGGAATGTCTTTCAGAAGCCACCACCTCGCCTACCTCCTCCTCCATTTGTTTCCACATTGCTCTTCTTTTTCCAGAATTACTTATGAATAATAAAGGAAGCCGGGACAAGAACAATGACATGTTCCTGGCTTTGCAAGAGTGCCACACATCAAAGGAAGACATTCATCCCAGAAAGCCACAACTTTGTAAGAGATCCACTAGGCAGAAATGAGGTTTGATATTGCTCCTACACAGCAGAGAGAAAATGCCCTTAGACTACTGAAACTGGGAAATCAGTTGCTGCTCCAGAGGCTGACTGCCCAAGGGTATGCACGGGTCTAACGTGGGGCAAAGTAATGATCATGTCCAAGTCTCTGCTTATTCTTGTGGATTTCGTACTTATCTCATAGGTGATTCTGAGAATTAAATACACATGAAATGCTTAGTAAAATGCCTGGCATATATACAATATTAAATGTTAACCCATATTATTGCTAATGATAACAATCTGAGGTTTTTGTTTTTTATTTTGTTTGTTTTTTAATCTTCTCCTAATGTTTATAGTTCTTTTTTTGCGGGGCGGGGGGAGTCTTTTTAAAAAACCAAAACCAATGTTGTCATTACAAATTTTCTGAACTACCCAGATTTCATTCCCAATCAGCCTTCCCTGTTTTTTTCTGGTTCGGTAACCCATTGGCTTAAAACAACAACAACAACAACAACAACAAAAACCCCTCTTCTTCGTGCCCAGTCTACCAGCCTGTGCTTTCAGATGAGCTCCTCACCCCACTTCAGAATCCTAGCCCTGCAGGCGCCAGCCTTCCTTCTTAGGCCCTGCCCTTCCCTCACTGACACCTAGCTTGTCCAATGACACTTCTTAGATCTATTTCAGTCCAGCTCTTTAACCTCAAAGACCTTCTCTTAATGAGCCACTTATTCATTCTCTGCTTCTCTTTAGATGAAAGTGAATCCAGACTGAAGTTAGTAGTCCATGTGCTGTCTCCATTCATACCAAATGGAGGTCAGGCCAGGCCGGCATGCTGCTGGACCAGCGTGCTGCCCAGCACTGTGGCCTTGTTTTTTGCTTTGTTGCTAAGAAAACTATATATATCACTCGGGATGTTGGGACTGTGTAACTGTCACATGGTAATACTGACCTCTAGGGGCTGGCTTTCATTTATATAGAGTCTTTATCTACTCATTGAGTTCCAGGATTGTGATGGCAGCCTCTTGCTTGGCTGTTGCCAAATCAGTTTGTAGCTTTTTCACTTTCTTTCTGGGCTTTAGTTTCTTAAATAAAAAAAAAAAAAGAAAAGTTTCCATCACTAGGGACAGATACATCAAAAGAATAAAAGGAATTAATGATGTCTGAACAAATACTGCCTTTAAACATACAAAATTTTCCGTTTGTCTAGATTGAGTCCTGTTTGAGGTCTATGAAACAGAGTGTAATGTGCTCCTATCAGAGCATTTGACTTTCCAAACTTAAAAGCCTACTTGCTACATTAGCGGTCCCCAATCATTTTGGCATCAGGGACCAGTTTCGTGGAAGACAATTTTTCCATGGATGGGAGGGCAGGAGGGATGATTTCAGGATGATTGAAGTACATTACATATATTGTGCACTTTACTTCTATTCTTATTACACTGTAATATATAATGAAATAATTATATAATTCACCATAATAGAGAATCAGTGGGAGCCATGAGGTTGTTTTCCTGCAACTGATGGCCCCTTCTGGGATGATGGGATACAGTGACACCCGAAGTGTGTTGTTCATGTCCTGTCTACTCCCTAATCTCATTTTGGTTGCTTTCACTGCAGAAAACCCTGCTTCACAAATATAGGATGTAGAGGAGTGAGGGACAGTTGGAAGTCCAAACTTCACCTGTATGCAGTCCACTTGTGTAGTTAATTAATCCTTAATTATACCCCACATCTCTATAATAAAATAAAATTTAATAAAATTTTTAAAAAGATAGGATGCTGGATATGGAAGCAAGCTTTTCAGTGCTTTTGTAGCAATCTCAGAATAGCCTGCCTTGACTTTAATACAGCATGTATGGACATTTGAAGTTGTCGCAAACATACTTTTAAGGCCACCGTCATTTGCAATCTCAAGTAGTTGATCTTCTCTCTAGTATGGACAAAGTCGATTCACCTGGCTTATTCACAAATAGGTCATGGATCCATTCCCTCCAAGTTCAGGGGTCTTTTGTGGTTGGGAAGTAATGCTCAAACTCCTTTGATAGCTGAGATAGGTGATCATGCACAGGTGGGAGAAGGAAGTCTCAAAATCTCTGCTAATGTTTGAAACATGTCAAAAATCCCTCTTCACTTGTCATCCTCATAATTCCAGTCTGGTCTTAAACATAGCCATTTTATCTGCTGACTTGGACACAGTTGTCGTTTTCCTCTGAAGTGACAGATGGAGTTCATTGAGCAGGTTGAATATGTCACACAAGTAAGCAAATTTTGCAAACTATTCTGTATCACTGAAAGGTGATGCCGGTGATGACTTTTTTTCTAAAAGAAATCTATGGAGTGGCTCTTGTAACTCAAAACTTTGGCCAGTGATTTACCTTTAGAAAGTCATCTCACTTCTGTGTATACAAGAAGATGTGTACTCTGGAATGCATCTGCTCACAGAGTTGTATGAACAGATATGAGCTGAGGTCATGGATTTTAAAGACTTTAATATGGTTGATAATTGTAATCATACCCTGCAAAACATTATTAAGTTCAGGTGACTTTTTTTTGACTCGCTAGCATTTCTCTAAGGATGACACAGTGCATATACTAACATTCAGAAGTGACCTCTTTGACCTGAGTAGTGAAACCAGAAAGCTGTCCAGTCATACTAGCCACTCTGTGCATATACTGACACAAAATTACCATTTCCGTTTTCCTGATATGTGATCATTCAAAGATTTGAATAGTTCTGCAGCTATGTTATTGTTTGACAACAAAGGTGCACATAACATGCACATCTTCCTGGAAAATGTATTGCACAAAAACAAGCATTATTGCCTTGTTGTCAACACCAGTAGACTCATCAACCTGGATTGCATACCACGGTCATTAATCCTCTCTAATGACTGTGCCTCAATATCCTATGCTATTTTATCAGTTTGTCTAGTTATGGTGCTAGCCAAAAGAGGAACACATGCCACCTTTTAAACTGCAACCTTTCAAAAGCTCACGACAAATATCCTTAGCAGCAATCAGGATCCACTCTTTACCAACAGTAAAGGGTTTCTTAGCCTTAGCAATGTGGTTAGCCACTAAGAATGATGCTCTCAGTGCAGACACACTGATGAAGTGATGGTCTTCAATAATTGCTTCTGTTCATTGTGTTCTTGTTTTTATTTTTTGTAAAACTCCAAAGGCTTGTCTTTTAACGCACGGGGTACTTGGTCTCTATGTTGTGAAGCAGTTTTGAAGGTTTCATGTGTTTTTTGCATAACCGGTTGCCACATAATATACAAAATGGACTTTGAGAATATGAATTGCCTGTTGCAGTGAACCTGTAATTTAAGTAGGACTCTTGGTACTTTCTTTTAAGTGCAGCTTTATTTTTGTTGGTAGTCTTAGAGTCTTCTACCGTCTCACTGTTGGGTCTTTCCCCCTTTTCAAAGAAGCTCTTCAGTGATATATATATATATATTTTTTTAAACTCAGTTTTGGGTTTACCAAAACTGTGACTGAGACAAGTTTCCAGTGTAGGAAAGAGGCATGCACAGAAGTGGTAAATAAAATAATGAGTGGGCCACATGGGGACTAAAATAAGTGTCAGATTCTACCCTAAAGCCTGCCACCAGATGCAGCTGTACCACTCACTGATAGGATTTTGATATAAGTCTGCAAGCAATTGACTTATTATGGTCTGTGTAGTCAAACCTTACTGCTACTGTTAATCTGTATTTGCAGTCGCTCCCCAGCAACTTCCTAATACTCCCCATCACAACCTCATTTCTACCTCAAATCATCAGGCATTAGATTCTCATAAGGAGCATGCAACCTAGATCCCTCACATGTACAGTTCACAATAGGTTTCGTGCTCCTATGAGAATCTAATGTCACCACTGATCTGATGGAAGGCTGAGCTTGGGCCATATTGGGAACCAACTGATCTGTTGCTCACCTCCTGCTGTGCAGCCTGATTCCTAACAGGCCATGGACAGAGGGGGTATGGTTGGGGAGAGGGAGAGTTGGGGATCCCTGCTCTACATCATAGTATCTTTTAGCCTCTCCAAGCATTTTTTTCTAGATCTAAACCCTGTAGGCTGGTTGCTTACAATAGAGGAAATTAGAGAAAAACCCTAATTGCCAGTTGGCATTTACCACTGAGGTGATAATACCTAAAAGTATCAGTTTTCCCCCCAAATTTGTACATAAACTTGTGTGAAATAGTAAGAGGCTTGATTCTGAGTCATTTTCCCCTCAACACCATAATGGTTTGCCTCCAAATAAACCCTAAAATGTGTAATGCCACCACAAAATACTGACATTCACAGATACTTACTATGGTATGTATATAGGGAAAGTGTCAAGGGTAAGAAGGGATCAAGGGTAAGAGTGATTTTTAAGCAGTAGTGGACAAGAATGGTTTGCTAGAAAAGAATTTGATTTTTGAGAGATAAACCTTCGGGAGAACTACATTAGGACGTTGTTACATAACCAAAGGATTCACCTTGAGGTGCTATGACTGAAAATGTCCTTTTATGAATTTCAAAGTGAATTTGATTTGTCAAAACTGGATTTATCTGGAACTTTGGAGAGGCTATCTATCCTGAAAAGTGCTACATTTACATTTCTGCGTTGCTTTTGTGTAAAGGCCTCTCCACTAAAATGCTCACCTTGCCAAGTCTTTGTGGACTGGTAATTCGGAAGCCCAGAAAACAAGCTAGTGTTTCTCATCAGACATAAATCTTGAGATAGGAAAATAAATGGTTTTTGCTTACTAGGGAAGAGCATAGTCTTCCCTGACCTCTGGAGGGAGTATACTCAGGCAGAAGGGAATCCCTCTCCTTTTTCAGATTAAAATCAATATAATCAATTTATCAACTATGGAATTAAATGGACACAGATCTTCTATTTTAAAGAAAGGTTGTCTTCTAGACCAAAGCAGAAAGATCAGGGCTTCACTAAAGCTTAATTAATGAAATAAACATGGCTAAATGTGTTACTAAAAGAAGAATGGTAATAATGGAAGTTCTTTAAAGGGATTTGCAAGTTAGAATTTGGTAGAGTTCACCCAGCACAGTGCAGGTGAGAGGTACTCTGAGCCACAACACAGGTGCCTGGCCTCCATGGCAGTTCCTGCACAGAGGTAGTTAGTATTTAATACTCATTTTATCATTGTATTCATTATTGTGAAGCATCCCCTGTGTGTCAGGCACTGTGTTGGCCAGCAGTTGAAACACCAGTGCTGAAAAGATCTCCACTTCAAGGCCACTAAAACCTTCTATCAAATTCCCTGTCTCTGAGTTCCTGTTTACTAACAACCTTCATAATTTGGCCTGCCATGTGGATTCATTCAGGGAGAGACTGAGCTGATCAAGAAATATGCTGGGGTACTTGACAGCTGTGTTTCTTGTGATAACTTGTGAAGTTAGCATGCTAATATACACTTCTCTCTCGTGAGTTGGTTTGGGTCAGCTTGTGCATGAGAGCCCTTGCCATCCTGGGCCTGAAGTGATGGCAACTGTGAGGCCCTAGCGTGACCTTTCCTACTTTTATTTTAAAGATGTGAGGTACAATTCAGGATTAGGTGTACAAGTGGTCATCATACAGGTAAAGTTTGGGCCTCCCTCTGGTCCCACTTTGCCTAGTTTAAGATCAGGTACCCTTGTAGATGTTCTGTGGGTCTCCCCCGCCCCCAGCAGTTTCCAGTTATGCTAATCCCTTTCCTACTTTAAGACTGTTCCTTGAAATTTCGAATTTGGCAGGTCTGAGGCAAGTTCTGAGTGTGGATTTATAGCAGGTTCCCAGGTGATATTGTTGCTGCTAGTTTATGGTGCTACATTTTGAGAACCACTGGGTTAAAGCAGTACTTCTCAGTCTGTAACGGCAATAAAAATCACCTGGTGAAAAAAAGATTGTTCCTTGCTCAGATTTTTACACTTTTCTTTTATCACTAAGAACTTTGGAGATATAAAGTGGGAAGAAGTGTACAAAAATGAAAACTGAGAAAATGGAAAGAATGAAGGAAAGTATGGCAAGAGGGATTCACAAGGAAGTGCCAATTAGGCTATCAAAAAATGACTAATAATGATATGCATGTTGC